AAAAAAAAAAAAAAAAAAAAAAAAAAAAGAGCAATGCATATCCACATACATACATACATACATACATACATACATTTATGTATACAAGGTTGTTTGTATGTATATATGTAGGTATCTAGAGGTTACAGCTCCACTACCACAGGGGTTTTGATCTCGTCTATTCTGGGAAGAGTGATGAGGCTCTTAGTATTGGGCTACTGGAGGGTTCTTGTTGTCCTTCTTTCTCTTCGCGAACACGGGAAAGATAGACAACAGGTTTACGCAAAACCGCCTCAAACCATTTAAGCCATTTAATACGATTTGGGAAACTATTCGTTTGAAGCCTAATCGTCTCAGTTATAGCAAAATCCTTGCTAGAAGATGGCTGTATCGTAGCGTATGAAGACTGGTGCCTAGTGAGCTGCCCTGGGTAAACTCCAAAGAGAGACTTTCTCTCAGAATCTGTGGCACCCGCACTTTGCTCAAGAAAAAAAGTATTTCCCCAGTGTTCTTCTTCTACAATGACACGTAACTGCGATATAGGTACTTTATGCTTGGGAACCATCCTCACATGCTGAGATACAGTAGTTGGATACATAACGATATATTCTTCTTCTCCCCCCTGATCTCCACACTCAGACCGTTTTGCACGTTTTTTGTAAGCAAACCGTCGAGTTTCGTACTGATCATCCCCTAATTCGATACGAAGAATACCACCATTAGGAACATCACTCGGATCTGTAACTTGCATTTCTTTCGATTTGTCGATAACTTCGCGACCTGCAGAACTAAGAAAAAAATCAATATACCTTTCAATTACAGCGGGTGGTGGTTTTTCTTGCAGAACTCTATTACTATCTTCTACAAGTTTCTTCATATCATTGATAGAATATTTTGAATCACAACCTGTACGAATAGAGTCTAACAGAAAGGCGGCGAAAATCTTTTCAAACCACTGTAACCACTCATTCCGTTCGGTAGACGATACAAATCTTATTTCAATTTTTCGAAAATACTCTTTTGCCGCTGAGAAAACAGCAGTTGTTCCCCTAAAGAGAAGCTGCAAGCCAACATCACCATGAGAGCTTACGGATGAAGAAGAGTAGGTTCCAGCCGGAGCGTAACTTGTATGAGCAGCAGATTCTTCTGCTCCACAGTGGTGATAAGACTGGGGTAGCATTTTAAATACAAAGGTATCTTTCTCAGGTACTGAAAAGGCGCAAACATCTAATAACCGTTTAAGAGAAAAAATCTCAACAATCCCACCAAGATGATTAATGGAGTTGTTACCACAATTGGATTTCCTCATCACCTGACGTATTACAAATTGGGCTGGATGGGTTGGTGAATCCTCAAGAAGAATATGCCTCTCTTGAAAGTTTGGTTCAGGTTTAGAAGTTAAGTACTGAGCGACTGAACGAAGTGAGCGTTCCAATGAAAAGCCTGATGTCTTCTTCTGTGTCGAGAGCAAACTCGGAAATTCATGAGAATCATGGCTTTCAATATCTGTAGAACGTACAGCTGCATGCGCTTGAAGCGTTTTCGGTACTATGATTGGTGTGGACGGGTAACTGTGATGCTGCGATTTCGCCATAGGCGAATGTGTTTTTTCTCCTTCTTTAGTACCATTCGACGTGACCGGAGGTAGTTCACTCGGCGGTGTATCAGATCCTGAACTCTCCAACTCAAATGATACTGTAGAGGAATCCATAGAGTATCAGTCTCTCCACCACCCTCACCCCTATCTACTACGTAAATAAAATAGTAGAAAACAGAGAGAAAAAAAAAGAAGAGAGAAAACTCAGTCAAAAAAATGTCCTTATGTCAATTTTAATTGATCAAATTCTCGAAACCGAATGAAATAAAGCAACACATAGCTCTACAACCCCAATGAAAATGTCTAGAAATATAGGAAAGAAAGCGAAGAATGAAACACACTGAATTAAAAGGATATTATGCATCACTGATGATGATATTAATCCATGCATGAAACACAGAGTGCTTTCATAGCTGCAAACCAATTATATCCCACAGTGAAAAGGAAAATCCTTAATTCTCTTTTTAAAAAAAAAAAAAAAATTCTTCACTCTTGTCGTTATTTTGCTTCAAGTTTCAACAACAGATGATGCAGAAGACGTCCCTCCATATGGATTATGTCGCCAGACAATTCCGAGAGATGTTGAATTGTACGACCGCGAGAGTGCTGGCGATGTGCTTAGCTTTGGCGTACCAGAGAGGGACACAACTCCATTACCCGTATGCTTACCGAGGAAAATACTTTGGGAAGAGGCAAACTGAACAGGACTAATCCCCATGAAAAGAGTTGGTTCATTTTGTACCGTCAAATTCTTGGTATTCGATTGCGATGGTGACAAGACTACAGGAGAAGCGTCAGTAACTTGTAGTAGTAATGGTGGTGGTGGTGGTGGTGGTGGTAGTGTTAGAGATGGCGGTGTTGTCAGAGCCTGGGATGTAGTTACATTTTCATGATCACTTTCATTTTCTCTATTTTTAAACTCGGCAATTAAATCACGACAAAGATGCACGAAATTGCACTCATGGCCGAAGCGACAACATGGACCAGAACCATGAAGTCGACAAAGCGAACTTAAAGGAACAACCACCACAGATTCTGCTGAGTCATCCTCAGGGAGATGCCTTTTAAGAAGGGCTCGTAGACCCTTGGTCATGGTAACATACGCCAACGTTGTTCTAAGAAGACACCCTTGATCGTTATTCTCAGTTACAATTACCATAACGTCCTTTGGAACACCGGTGGTGTCACTTTTTGCACCATGTTTTTCACAACAGGTTGGCTCTTTAAGAGCAACTTCACGTAACTGCTGGACAACATTAGCATCAGCATGGGCCTGAAAGCACGAATTTCCCTGGCGGCAGCGGCCTTGCAAGTATAAGCGGCACAGAGATGGCACGCCTGCTCTGTGCATTGCAAGTGTGTCAATCATAGAAGTCTGAGGCACAAAGAGTCTTTGGCTTAAGGGGTCAATCACGGCAAAGGTCCCCTCAGGAGTATCCTCTGCACTAAGCAAATACTTCGGAGTCCCACGCCTTCCCTTTGTGCCCCCCATCAGCAGTTTTTCTTTTCTCCCTCTATATCAGTCAAAATATGAAATATACAGGGGGGAAAAAAAAAAGAAAATAGGATCATGATTTGCTGTTCTGTAAAGCTAACACAGGTCAAAAAATACAAACAGGCAAGAACAACAAGAATAACGAAAAAAAAAACTCATTTATTATACAAATATATGAACTTTATTTTTTTTTTTCTATCTTACGCGGGCTGTAGTATTACCTCAGATCCAGAACAACTTACAGCGACTTCATCGCCCAAAAAAACAGAACACTGTGCAGGCCCCTCCCGATGGCTGACAGGGAGCGTCATTTTAACTCCTTCGAACATCGAGGCATTGACACGGAAAACTTGCCCATCTCCAGCAGGAACCAATATAGTTCCTTTTTTTGACCAGTTACAACGCAATAATTTGCGTGAGTCACCTTGGTGTATATTAGTCCGATGAAGCAAGCGATCATTCGCACTAAGCGCAAACGGTGCTACATCCCATAATGTCAATAGGTTGTCCATGCCGTATGATACCAACATTGTGGCGTCATCATTAAGAACCAAACTACTCACGACATCGCGGTGATTTCTCAAGGTGTATAAATTTCTGAGCATACGAATATCAAAACAGCGAATACCTCCAAGAACGTCACCAATGAACAATGAATCAGAAGAAGCGACAACTGACGTAATTGGTACACGCATATTTACGGTTGAGAGAATCTTATTTTGTAGAGGGTCACATAAAACTAAAAATCCATCATCACCACCGTAAGCAAGAAGTTTACCATCTAAAACAGTTAGTGCGTTTATTACAGACCAATCACTTGATCTCCCTCTACCTGATGTACGACAGATAGAATGTACACACTGCGCAGTTTCAACATTCCATACACCAACGTTTCCATCACCCTGAGCAGTGCATAAACGCGTATGATTTAAAAAGCATGAATCAAGGATGGCAGGACCGCCAGTTCTGATCCCACAGACATGCAAAGGACTTTCATTATAACTGGAGCTATTATGCTTCCACAAAAGTCCAACACCCCCTGCATCACAGGTAGCAAAAACATCACTACCATCAGTTGCAATGCTCAACACATCGCTATTGTGACCCAAAAGAAACCACACGCCATCGACATTCTTACTACCAAGAGGTTTTTCAACGACGGCCAAAGACATTTTTTTTTAATTTTTCTTTTGGTTCGTTTTTTTTTTTTTTTTTTTAGAGAGAGAAAGAAACAAACAAACAAAGAAAGAAACATTGTTTCTGTGTGTCACATGCACATGAATGTAAGAATAAATGAGAAAAACAAAAAATAAATAAATAAATAAATAAATAAATAATAATAATAATAATAATAACTGTAAGCGACAAAGACAAGAAAAACTTCATGAATTCCCGCCAATGAAAGAAAAAAAAAAGAAGTGAGAAGGTCAGCGTTAATAATAAAACAGTCAACTCTCTAGAGGAGGGAATTCCGCTTCTTCACCAATGACCAAATCACGGATGTCTACTTCGATTATTTTTTTTTTGTCTTGATGCACACTCTAAGCGTGCCTGACACAAGAAGGTAGAATAAGAGAATATATATATATATATATATATATATATAAAAAACCTATCCACTGTCGAGCGCCTTCTTTTTTTTTCGTCCGATGGCCAAATCGTCTAACGTGCCACGTAAAAGAGGAGACTTGGGAGAAACAGCACGTGCTCCTCCCTGTGGTGTTGCTCTTCCGGCACCAACAACTGTTGTTCCTCGCAGTGTGCGCTGTACCGCTGAGATGGCACCCAGCCGTGGAGCAGTGCTACCCACCCCCACCGCTCTCTCACCTACTCTCGGTGACGTGGGCGTGCTTCTTAGTCCGGCGGATTTACTATTGGTGCGTGTGGTTGCGCCTGTGGGTGTGAGACTTCGCAGGGTACGCGGAGACTTCCCGGACGACGCGGCCCGCCGTGCGGGGTCTGCTGGGCGTGTGTGTCCGGCCGGTCGGTCTCGCGGGGTGGCGGGGCGGGAGGTCGGGCGGGAGGCGGCGCGGGGCGTCGGCCGGCGGGAGGGGCGGGGCGGGAAGGCGGCGGGCACAAAATCGGCGATCGCCTCCCACGCCGGCAGACGGGCCTCTAAACCCGCCCCCTCCTCGGTGAGAAGTCCACCCCGCACGGTGTAGTCGAGCGCCACGAGAACGTCTACAAGGGCATACACAAGTCCCTGCCGCTTGGAGGCGACCGCAGTAGAAACATCAGTATATGGCCTTGTCAGAGCGTCCAGCACCTTCAGATAGCGCTCCCAAAGCATATTGGGGTCTGAAGTTCCAGAAAGAACATCTAGCGTATTTCCCATCCGTCGCACAAGTTCTGGAGAAGCACAAAAGCACTTGGCCCTGACATTCATTATCCTCGTTTTGAGGTCATTGCAAGATATATTACCAAAATTCTTAATTTTCAGCGGGCTACCAGATTGTACCTTGTTTCCCCAACCTTGTGTATCCCCCTCAATAAGCATTCTCCCCACCAATTGTTGCACTCGAAGAAGTAAATCGTGTGAAAGTTTTGTGTCGTTGTTGATTTGTTTTAAGAGCTCTTTTGTAGCATTCTCACCGTCTTCTATCATACAAGTATCCCTTTTGGTTGTTGAAATACCATTGTTAATTTCATTCATCAATTGAAAACCTATCATTCGAATAGCCTCCGTCATTTTTTCGGCCATATGTGCTACATTTTGTAGTTTGAATTTTGATGATGTTAATATGTCGTCGTTGCTCATCTGTGTTCTTCTTACATGATAAGGATCACTCGAAGAACCACCTGAGCGCGCCTTCTCTTGGGGGAAGGCAAAATCAAAGAGAAGTGTTATTGACCATTGAAGCTCAAACAATCTATTTCTAAGCTCACAAATATCATCATCAGAAAAAACCTCCAACTCCTTTCCTGCAGAGACCTTATTTTTGGTGCGAACATTATCATCAGATACAACAGGTTTTAAACAAACAGAAAAGATACTGTCCCCATTTAAAAAACGGTGACAGTGTGTAAGTTTCAACGACACCGATCCACAATTGTATATGAAGCCACTATTTGTACGGGAAATAACTGCAAGAGCATTGAGAAATGAGAGATCAATATCTCCTTTTGGACCCAGGGTAATCGAGTCACCTACCTTCATCCATCCTAAATGCCACACAAATGATGCAGTATAATCACTAGGAGGATTATTGAGAATCAACCAAGCTTTGTCATCACTCCCACGTTCAATTTGCAGTTGCCGGTAAAGTACCTCATAATCCTCTTTTAGTTGACTCAAATCTCTTTCAAGTTGATTACATTCAGCTTGTTTAACAGTATTTGATGTCACGTAGTCAAATTCCTTACAACATAATTCCCAATCCAATATTCGAGAAGATGATGTAAGTGGCATTTTATCTGACACCATAACGAAACGAAAAGCCATTTCTTTACCCAAAACAATACGATCATTGTGTCGAAGCACAATTTCAGAAGAAAGCAGTTGTCCGTTAACGTACGTCATCCCACATTCAGGGCGGATGCAAACTATGCCTTTTTCATACGTTAAGCGACAGTGAGGAGAATAGATGCTTCGATGACCAACTCCTTCTTTAGTATTACCCAAAGGAAATACAACAAAGTCTACAAAACTTGAATTACTTTCTTCTGCTACAATATAGCTAGAACCCTTAGATATGGCATGTGCCAACTTCTCCCCAACCACCAGTTTGGGATTCAGATTTATAAAATAAGGTCCTTCTGACTGTGGAGCGAAGTGTTCAAATTCATTCAAAAAAATTGACCAGGCTCTCACTTCCTGCAACCGAACATGTGAACTAACCCTTTGATCAACCCCAAAGACTCTCGTTTCACAAGCCGCACGGAGTTCGTAAACCATACCTATGTATTGTTTAACCAAAGATGCATTCATTGATTCAAGATACACATATATTGACACAATTCTGGTTTCAAAGACCGATGCAACACGTTCTGTAGCACGAACAAAATCATGGTCTAGTATCCCTTCATTCCAAATAAGCACCGTTAAGTGAATATCGGAAAAATCAAAAGAACTACTGGTTGGATGAACCACAGAAACCTTTAACGAACAACATCTATGTCGACCTTGTTCTTCCTCAATAATAGCATCAATGTCAGTAATTCGATCACATCGGTATTGCAATAAATCTCCAGCTGATTCATCTATAAATGAAATACTGAATTGTTTATATGACCCAATAGGAGTAGTAAAACTTTCGGCAAAATGGGAACAAAGACTTTTCATTATTGATTTTCCGTTATCTTTGGCGTTTGATACCGCTAATACAAAAGCTCCGGTCGCCGTTTCTTTTGTGATCCCAGACAAAAGAGCTTCTTTTCCTCTCAAATACTGAAAATCTTTCGTCCCAGAGAGATAGGGGACAGACTTATCTGATGCAGCAATGCGGAAACTAGTGCGAACCATCCTTTAGTCCTTTCTTCTGAAAGAAAAAGAGAAATATACACATAAATATACACATACACGTAATCTTGCAGCAATAGAATCAATAACAATATAAACATTATAAAAAAAGAGGGGAAAATTCACGCTTTATGTAATATTTGTCCTTGGTTTCTTTCTGTTCTTGTGAAAATGAATCTCATTACACATCCATCTCCTCTAAATCAGTAAAGCATAAACTCTTTTTATCTATATAATCAAGAAAATTGTGCTGCAAAAAATCCCTCAGTGCTGCTCCAGTTAGATTTTCACCCTCTGCTAGAAGTTCGCTTTCGCTGTCAGAGGTGTCGGAGTCAGTAGAAATAGACTCCTCAGTACCCTGGTCACGGATTTCCTTCTGCTCTGGCTCCGGCTCCACCTTTAGAGCATACAGGATGTCATCGTCATGTGCTTGAATTTCTTCTTTATCCGCCTTTATATTCTTTTTCGTTATAGATACCTGTCCTTCCTTTCGCGTCTTCTTTCTTGATGGGCTCCCCATATGCGTGAGAGGAAAACTAGAGCAAATAAAAAAAAAAAAAAAAAAAAGAAATGGTAGGCTTTGTGGTTAAAAGATATTCATACAAAGTGCTAAAAAAAAGGATCTAAAAGGGAGAAATATTTTGCTCCTTTCATTAAAAAAAAAAAAAAAAAAAAAACATGCTCAGCACCAAATCCACAGTGTTTACGTTCCCTAATCATTGTGACCATGCGTGAAGACAGTTTGGTCCTTCTGAAATATCCTTTCGGCCTTCGTAGTTAATGCAGGATTCGTTGCATAGCGATATGGTTTCCATCGTGCTTTCGTTGTTATCTGTGGCCCCATGAGTCCAACATTACAAAACAATCGCTTGACAGGTCGATGGTGGTAATTACACAGTTGGAACTTATCCTCCATAAGGTATCGCATTAGCACATAAGCACCATCTTTCTCCACTCGATCAAAGGGCTCAAATCGTGTGTCCCATGGCTCTGTGCGCTTTGAGGCGCTAAACTCCACATATGCACGGAGGCTGTCAGCAAGGACGCGGTGCCTATCTAGAAGGTACTCTTCACGCCATTTTTGTGCCTTTTCATGGAAGCCTTGGCCCACCTTGGGGCGCTTCTTCGGTTTCGCCCAGTACCTGCGCTGAGTGAAAGTGCTAGAGAGTGTGGTGTGGCAGCCCCTTAGATCCGCACCACTAATGAACAGTCTATTAAGCATAGGTACTTGTAAAGAAGGGGAAAAAAGAAATAATTACCATGGTAAAAGTCAAACAGTAAAGGAAAAAAAAAAAAAGATAACCATATTCGGTCATATACAAAATGTATAAGTATATATATATATTTACATACACACATGGAAATATTTAACATGAACTGGGAGATTTTGACTCAAGGAGTTTCTCAAGCTTTTCGATTTGACGTTTCATATCGTCTATCTTTCGGCGAAGTTCTAGCGAATCATTACATGTCTCCTTTTTGTTCAAAGAACTAGAAACTTTTTGATCCCCATTATCAACTTCGTAGCGTTTCATTGCCTCAGATATCCTGGTTTCTTCTGCCGCTTTATACGCTTTTTGACGAAGGTACTGCTCACGAACTGCCTCTTTCAGCACTTCATGCTCTTCTCTTTCCCTTAACTCTTCTTCAGTAGGTGCCAACGCAGTTTTCATTGGGTCTAGAGGTAGTGGGATCTTGCTAAAAAGATTTTCCATCATAGATTCTACCTTCTGCAAATGTGCCGCATCAGACTCTGGGCTTTCAATATGGTCTAAATCACTATGCCTAATGCAATTTCGAAGAGTTTCACCTATTCCAGACTGTCTCCGGTATATTTCCTCCTCGTTCAAATCCTCTTGAAGTGTTTTCACGAATCCCTGAGGCAAAGTCCCAGTACCAAGCACAGTGTTGTACCCCGTTAGGGATCTAACTAAAGTGCTGGTAGGCGCAACAAGAAACTGCAGACGGTGCATCTCCACTTATGTGTACTAGAAGGCGCAAAGAAGAAAAAGGAAAAGAGTGAAAAGTTGAAGAGTAGCACAGAAATGCATCTCATATGCAACAAGCAAAGAAAATACAGAGAAATAGAAAATAACGAAGCACTTAATAACAATACCCCAACCCGCATTCAGAAGAAATGCAAAATAATAATAATAATAATAATAATAATAATAATAATAATAATAATAATAATAAAACCATTTGTTGTGATGACAATATGAGAACATCAAGGTTCCTTAGAACATGTGAAAATAGAAAAAAAAAATTGAAACTTAAGACTAATGAATTCAGTCACTACGTTAGAAAGAAAAATTACTTCTAATATAACATCATTAGATATATAGATAAAAAGAAAGAGAAAAAGAGAGAGATATAGATAGAGATAGAAAGGGGAAGAAATAGAAAGGTTCTACCTTGGTGAGGTAATAGGAGAGCATCGTGTTGGGTCATCGACCCTTTGAAAAAGATGTCTACCATGGTCAGTAGCCTTGATACAGTAGCCATTCAATGGATATAGAACGCGGTACCACATCACTCCATCGTTATCGAGAGAATCACTGCTCACAAAGACCTGATCTCCATAAGAAAACTCACCAATACGCTCAGCCTTTAAAGATGGCTGAGACCGCACATTGACGCTGGTCTGGGGTCGACAAACGAAAAGACATTTGGTCCCTTTAAGACGTGGGGACTGCCATGGCCACGCACAAAGTACAGGGGTAAAGAGTGGTAGTGCAAGCAAATCTCTGACATTTGGTCGTTTCGTACGACTTTTAGTTAGCATTTTCATTACTAGATCCCCAAGGGATTCAGAATAGCCTTCTACCACCCGACATGGATGTATAGCTTGTTTCTTACCAAGGTTTTCGTAGATCTCCTCCACGCTACTCGCAGGAAACGGCAGTTTGTTTGTCATAAGTCTATAAAAAGCCACTCCCATACTCCACACATCGGTCTTCCTAGTGTACTGCAAACCAGTTACCACCTCTGGCGACAAGTACTGCGGTGTACCCAAGCGTGTCACGGAAATTTCATCAGTAAAACAAAGTGCTTTACTGAGACCGAAATCACCAATCTTTACAATACCCGTTGTACTCTGTAGCAACAAATTCTGTAATTTGATATCACGATGAATAAGATGTTTCAGATGAATGTGGTCCAGCCCCAAGAGCAACTGCGCAAACATGGAAATCAGTTGATTTTCTGTAAAGGGAAAGGCACGAGAAAGGTAGTCTTCCAAGTCACCGCCGTTACAGTACTCCAGTATTATATAACATCTTTTCTCCACCGGCTCAACCCAAGCACGAAAACACCGTACCACATGGTCACTTGTTGTTAGTAACATATTTCTTGCTTCAGCAAGAACCAGGTCATTATCTGCTATGTTCTTAGAACGTTTAAGTACGTACTGAGAACCGTCTTTAGAATTCTCCACAAGGAAGGCGTCCCCAAACGTACCGCTCCCAAGAAGCCTGATCACACGGTACTGGCCACCAACAAGTTGCTCCTGCTGCTGCATATTTGATAGTCTTCGAGAAAGGTGGTACCAGAAAACCAGTAAAAGGAAATAATAACAATAATAATAAATCACAATAATAATAATAATAATAATAATAATAATAATAATAATAATAATAATAATAATAATAATAGTAATAATAATAAAGATGATAATAATAATAAAGATAATAATAAAAAAATAATAATACTAATAATAATACTAATACTAATAATAGTAACGATGATAACAATGATATAGTTAAAACCACACACACACACATACAAGCAAATATATATATATATGATTTTACCTAAGTTAAAGAAATAATCACATTTACCCAAAATAATCAGAATTTTACGTTACAATACTATAGATCAAGCCTCATCTGCCGTTCACAAACTCGAAAATCCAGCTTTTCATAATATTCTATTGAACCTTCTGCACAATCAAGAATAACTTTGTAACATCCTCTCGAACGAGCAGTATCACAAAGACTCTTAAGTAATGCTTTACCGAGCTTCTTTCCTCTGTATGCTGGATCAACAACGACATCTTCAATGTGTCCAACGGACCTTCCTCCTCTGGTAAATTTGGGTTCAACGAGAAGCGACGCGGTGCCGACAACTCTACGGGTTGGCTTATGCACAAATACCATTGTCACTATCCCCGCTTCACGACGTAAATCAGCGATGCGTCGCATAGACGATGAGCTAAGCTCGGGGGCCTCAGTTAGGTGACTGAGCAATTCCAGAAGACTTGGTACATCGTCTTGCTCAATCTCCCTCAATTCCAGGTCAACATACTCTTCTGCCATTCTATCCTCTTAAAAAAACTTTAGATTGAGAAACAAGCATCCAATGAGCAAGACCACACAAACATCACACCCTTTTTTTTTTTTTTTTACATCGCATATAATAAAAAAAAAAAAAAAAACACCTAGCGGGCTCCGAAAACACTCTTAAACTGTGGGGTGGCCTTATAGTTTCCTGCTATGCTTGAAAGTGACGAAGACTGAAAAGCGGAACTACTATTCGCAAAAGCACTTGGTGCTGCAGAGTTACCAGCCAACGGTGCACCAAACGCAGTTCCACCAGAGATACCAAAAGCACCTCCGACTGCCGTTCTTCCATCAGCAGCAAAACCGGTCCGGCTAAATGCACTAGACTTTCCGAAGGCACTTTCTCCCCCCGTCAATGTAGATCCAAACGCAGAACCTTGACAAACAAAAGCACTTCCACCACCAACCCCTTCGCCAGCAGTAGAGCAAGAAGGAACACTACCAAAACCACTTCCACCAGAAGAATTCGACTTACCGAATGCAGAAGAAACAACATTAGGGTTTGATCCAAACGCTCCTCCTTGAGAAGCGAATGCACTCCCGCCGAAAGCCGACTTATTAAACACGGACAACGATTCACGACCTTCTCCTACTAAGGAACCCGAGGGTAAGACACCGCCCCCCATTGCCGCATTCGCCTGTCCAAATGGTGATGGCTTGACCTCTGTTGCTGGTGCTGCCGTATTCTGTCCAAACGGTGATGGCTTGACCTCTGTTGCTGGTGCTGCCGTTGCCTGTCCAAA